CCTATCCCTTTACACTTGTGTACAGAAGTTATGACTTCAATACAAATTGTCTAAAGAAACATGAAATTGTTTCATCCAGAAAATGAAAATTATTTCTGTTTTCTTTTGGCAAAGTGCTCTTCCATGACAAAATTTGATTTAAAAAACTTACATACACATTCATACATGGAGCAATGGGTTGGACTAGATGTTTAAGCGTAAGCTTATCATGACACAGGTCTTGGTTCAATCCCCCACATGCGTTAATTGCTTTAAGGCCCATTCTAGCATCCCTTGCTGTGATATTGCAAGAATGATACTAAAATCAGATGTAAACCAACCAACCACTCACTCACTCACACATACACATGTACCCCCACATTGAGCAAGGGAATTCTAATTCCCCACTGTTTTGAGAAGATTCAGTAATGGATATACAGGTACATCAAGTTTTTCTCAGATTTTCACCATGATGCCTAACTAACCACAGAAAAAATTCCAGGATTGATTTTGACAAGAAATTATATTTTAGTTTCCATTTTTGGCTTTGAGGAACTGAATTGTTTGGAATATTCGTGTCCCCTGGTTTTATCGTATGTCCCTAATTCCTGGAAAGGAAAGGAAAATAGTGCCCTACTTTTGCAGTTCCTGACATGAACACATATTGTGCAGGTCCCAAGCAGCAGCAGCTGAGTGAGTGGGTGAGTGAGTTTAGTTTTATGCTGCTTTTAGCAAGATTCCTGCAATATGGGAACACCAGAAATGGGCTAGAAGCAGCTGAAGGTGGACCAGATCCTGGTCAAGTAAAGACAAGCAAGCTGCGGAAACAACCATCATCTGAGCTGACCTCAATCAATTCCACCGCACACAAACAAAAGCATAATCAATATATTTCCAGTGAAGCAGCCCGCCGATGACCTATTTCAAAGTCGCTGCTCAAACTTCATCCTGATGCAGGTCATGTCAAGCATGCTGACCTCTCCTGCCGCAATCAAAGATCAAACAATGACCTGGTTATCAGCAAGGGCTGTACAGGATTCAGTGGTGTGTGTGCAAGTCAATCTTCCCGTCCACCACTCCATGTCGTCACTTGTTCTCCCACAGGCTAACATCATCATGGCCTCTCTGCAGCCTCATCTTGTCCTTCCAAATACCAGCTATTGATTTAAGACAGTGCACTTGCTCAAGCGTATCTCCATCGTCTGCACCCTCGCAGAATAATCATTGCAAGCTGCTCTTCCTTACTCGTAATTGTTTGCACTTCATTTTTTTCCCTCATTTGATCAGCTTGAAACCACCTTCTCATCAGGTCTGGGTTGTTTAAGGCTGCTCATATGACCATGTAGGAGTGTTGAGTGAGTGAGGTGCCATCAAAAAAGCTTTACTGCAGCCATTTCCAGTCTGGCTTGACAAATGATGTCGTGTGGCCAGTGAACCTTGAGTTAATGTGACATGACTGGTGTATCCCCCAAGAGAATGTCATAAACTGAAGATTTGACAATACCTTAATGATCAGATTACTTTCAGATAAATATTGACACTGCCGTTCATTTTGAAATGGATTCATCAGACACAGCATCAATTTCATGAGCAAAGAACACACAGCTTGCCACCAACAGGTTGGAAATAGGTTCAGCTGTAACAAAACATCCTGAAAACACTAAATCAGAAATCTAAAAACTTGAAAACAACCACAAGCGTAATCTTCCTCAGCCACAGGAACTCGCAGCCCAAACGCAATCCCCATTCCATCTGATTTATGCAGCAAACTGTCTACTGCACCCAACTCCTTACCAATCACTTCCAAAACACGAGGGTCTATTAAACATGTCAATTCCAAACGAGTGCAAACTTTTACTTGTGAAACTCAACTCCAGAAAAATATTGATCACTTGAGCCATGGACTCGAATCTAATAAAAGCAGAGTGAATTTCATAAGCTGCCACTGACGAGACCCCACCACAACCAGATCAACGACAGGAGCAATTCAATTACTTGATGACACTGCCAAGAAGAAGTGGCTTCCCAACATGCTTAGTCCAGGAATTCAATCTTCTTGCATTCTTCCACCATTTAATACATCTCAGAAGGATTCGGAGCATCTCTATTTTCAGTCCTAGTTAAGGCTGGTGATCTCGTGCCAGGCTGCCTTATAAGGTCAAACTGGGCTACGACGACTGGAGTTTGTCTTTCTGATGTTTGGGTCATTACGCAAAAGAGGACGTTTTCAAGAACGGGAGATGGAGTGTCTGTACCAGGGTGGAGGTAAGAGGTAAAGACTTGAGGGTCTGCAGTGGTGTTGAACCAGACACTGCAGCAGCACAGTTCCCAATCACGCGCGTATTGATGGACAACATTTGACAAATTCAGAAAATATTATTTGTTTGACACACCTCTTAAGAAACCAGTATGACGAATACCAATTGATGAAATACAACTGATGAATCTCCTTTCCTAATCACAAATCCTCATTTGTTGCTAAGAAACAGACAGCAGGCGCTTTCCCAGAACTCACCTTGAAATGTCCCATTCATATATACTGAGTGCTTGCATCCGATACTGTTGCTGTAGTTGAAATTAGTGGGATGTTGGACAAAGTGGGCATTTCGGAGGGTTTTCCGACCCTGCACCGAATGCAACCTTGCTTATAGGTTTGGTTGCACCATCAAAACTGTGGTTGCACCACAAAATAATGTCACTGGCTTTAAGACGTAACATAAATACTTGTTTAGCAATTATCATAACAAGTACTCAGTATCAGATACATTCAACAGAACCGGATCCCATGATGATAATGATGAATGACTCTGTTTCAATTTTGCGTTACCTTTATTATAAATCTCAGTCATATGATTACTGCTACGTAACGGATTAATGAGTACACACATGTTTACGCTTGTGACAAGTCTTGTTACTTCCAGCTACTTACTTCCCAATTAAAACACACGATGACAGCCGTAAGAGGATTTATTGTTACCTGCAACGAGTGCAACCTGTTACTAAAGGCAACCTACACCAGGCATTTTGCACATGCACTGTTGCAAGTTGTAAATGGCAAAATCGCATCCTATTTGGGTCATACAGAGTTCATGTTGTATATCTTTATTTTTATTTAACTTGAACTGTCACCTTGTCAGATACCATACAAACAACTATCAAAAAACCTGGCAGACAATGGCCACTGACATTTAGTCTGCTGAATTGGTTTCACCTTTCTTAGACTTGGTCGCTGGATTATTTTCATTATTTTCAGCAGAAGGCTCTGTGAAGAGGGTGGGTCATTGTAAACAGATGAGGTGTCATTAAAAAGGGACAATTGAACCAATATTTTGAACATTAATGCTAGATAGAAAAGAACAAAGGTTATTGAACTTACCTGAATTACATGACTGAATGATGAATGCGTATCATATTAGGTACCTTCATAAACTGTTAAACTTGTCAATAGCAATATTTCGGACATCTCATAAATGAGCTTAAATTTGAGTTTTTGAAATCTGCACCATTGCATGAATTCTATCAACACACTGCATGCAAGTCTTCTATTTGAACTTTTTTTTATATGATTCATATAATTGTGAGTTACTAAGCATGACACAACACATCTACAGATATCGGTAATGACTTGCCCCAACAACAGGTGTGCGAAAATGAGAGTGACAAAATGGGTTTCAAAATTAATATTCACGCATTTCTGAATGTGACTTAACATTCATATGATGCATAGAGCAATAACATACTCAATAAAATTTTCAATCATAGTTTCACATTTATTAAATTTCGCTCTCCAGTACACATATATGGCATGCCTCACTGGTTTCACTTAACATATACTGTCTCTAAAATTAATGAAAATCCTGGGTCCATATTTGTAAATGCTTGTTATCTACTACTGTTTACAGCTTGAAAATTTTCCAAATATTTTGACATATTATTTATGATTGGTATTTACTATTAGAGTTTTCTTTTCACTCAAATAATACGTACAGACACTAAAAATGATACAAAGCACCAGCAAAGTGCAAATGACCAATTAATATCTTTCTGATCAATGGTTGTATAGAAAAGCAACTATATGACTTTATATGGGGTGCCAGGCTATCCACCTATCAAATGGGTTGGACACCACAGGCATGACGAGTGACAAAAACTATTGTCTCAGTTCAACAGTAGCAGTGAGAGGATTAATGACCCTATATATCACCCATTACAGACTTCTTGGGTTTCCTGAGCTGCCTCCCTGAGAAGGTGTTTGTTTTATACTTAACTTAGCTATCTAATGCCAGTCTAAACAAAATTGCCTCTGGACCAGAAAATTCAGTGATCGACAATGTAAGCATCAATATATGCAAGGATAGAAAGATATGATCAAACCAAGTCAGCAGGCATCACCACCCAATCCCGTTAAACGCCTCCCAGGACAACATGGGCACCTAACAACCAATATTAACCCAGATTTTGACAGAGGCCCAAGAAGACATTATCAGTGACGGGTGAGATCAGCCAGCAACGCCTAACAGTGTGCACTAGTGTTGGGAATCGGTTGAAATCTCACAACTGACAATTGGTTCATTACCAACGAGCAATCATCGAAAAGAATTGGTTTGTGTCATTTTTTCAGATTTTCCTTTCAGGCTGTTATTGCAGATAAGTATAACGTGGTTCTAACGTGGATAAGTATAATCGCATTTGCAAATTTCCCATCCAATGTAAAATGATGCAACTTGCTACTTTGAAGTGATGACTTATATATCATGAACATAAACCTCCTGGAGTTTTAAAGAAATATTCAGTCATGACTTTTCAGCAAGTGAAGTGAGTTTTCTAAGAATTAAACATGTTTTCAGGCCTGACAACTTATAAAATATGTTCCATCGTCAAGTGTTTCAAACACTAAAACAGTAGTTCCAAAATCGTTTGTGTTCGATTATGAGAAAATGTGATCGTTTGCTTGGTTGTTTGGTCACTGCGACCAATCTTCGATTATTTCAATTAATGGAACACCACTAGTGTGCACTCACCTTGAAATGAAGCATGGTTCTCCTGTACCAGACGTACATGTTGTGGGGTAAGGCGCCAGACGGCAGGGTGCTGCTTCACCTCAATGCTGGCACACACCTGGCTCTCACCGTGCAAGAAGAAGTTGAAGCAGAAGGAAAGGTGAGCACTGAAATACAACACACACAATGTTAATCAATTTCTGGCAAACAAGTCCAGCTTAAACATGCTTAGTACTGCTTAGACCTGCAATATTTCTGAAAAACATCAATTTAACGAAACAATTTGATAGAGTAAACAGAAGCACACTTGTAACCTTCATGAATGTTTTTCAAAGAATAAAATATATAATAAAAAGTTAATTAGCTTTCAAGAATGACTTGCAAGTGACAGGTGTATGTGCACTATTATAATTTTTATTGGGGACAAAATTGTCAACAATCATACCCTAAGCAAAAACGTTGGGTGTTTTTCAGACCCTTTTTTTTTTTTTTTTTTTTTTCAGATCAAGAAAATCACACTTGGTTTCATGGTTCCAATCAGATAATTCACTATGGGGAAGGTTCACAACAGTGCTAGTAGCAACGCTTAGATTTGATTTTATATCTCGTGCTCACAACCAGTGACTAATAACTGCATTCTTTGATGGTGATTTACTGAAACAGGTCCGCTCAAAAGCTTTTGGCAGTCTTGGTCAAAAGAAACTAACAAAACATGTGGAATCAGGAAAATGTTGCAAAATAATCACTGTAATTAATGCATTGTCAACCAATACCATCTAGATCCATCAGCAATGTAGATACAAATACACTGTGTAACAAAGCTAGAGTCAGGAATCCTCGCTGTTGTATTGGAAAGTTTTTTTGTTTTTTTTTTATTTAGGTCATGACAACCCCACACCCCTCTTCTCTTACTTTTAACATCTCAAACTAAAACAAAATTTCTCAACAGTCTTTTCCTCATCTATGATAACGATTTCTTTATTTCTTTGAATGATTCAATCAAATTCCTTGCTATCAATGTTAATTTCACTTTTAACTACTTACAAACCAACTAACAGCAAGATCTTGATGTGAGCTAGTTTGGTCATACACCACTTTTAGTAATATTCTAATATTCACAGAAAGTGGCCATATATGATCTTCACACATTGTTCCTAATTTCATAAGCACTTCATACTGATTCATAGAGCACAACAGAATCGGCAGTTCTAATCTCAAGTCTCAAGTGAGCTGTAACCAAAACATTACATAACAGTGGAAGTGATCCTGGCTAAACAGGAAGTATTAATCCTGGCCATGTTGTGAACAACCCTTGCATTTTCTAAGAAGCCCATATCCCAAGCCTCGAGATGTATGTATAAAGAACACTGATCCCGAACGATGGCGTTCCTGGGCTTTCATTAGCGAAGTGTTACATGTGAAGGTGAGGCTTCGTGTAATCAGATTAAATCACATAGACGGGCACATCAAAACACAGACACTTCCTGCTATGATAGCCGATGGAAAGCAAGGTCGGCAGGACTTCAGGAAATACTTCTAGACTCTTGCATAGCTGACAAGCAGGTCGTGTGTACACAAATGGAATTTCAATTAAGTGTTCCCATTTTACTGGGTCAGGCCTTGAAAAGCAAATTGAGATTTTGGGGCTTGAATTTTCATCACCAAACATTCACAAGCTGTATGGCTGACTAGGTGAATGTATGTGCAACTCTAATTTCCTACATGACAGTTGAATTTGCTTCAAATGGGCAGTGCCAACAAAACCTAATTACGCTCCCTAAAGATTGGTTGCACTGATATGAATCATGACAGAAAGTAAATACTGGTAAAAATAGCTCTGAGACAGGATTATTAACACAGCCCCCTCAGGTCCAAAGTCTGATGAATTCAACTTATTTTGAGCAGTCATGCTTGTTTGACTATTTTCATCAACATCACATCAATTTCCCATGGAAACCACATACTGCTTAGCCGTTTCAGATCTCAACTCAATTGTTTTAGAGACTCAAGCCATAGCATTTATTCAAATCAAACCTTCTTAAAATCCCATTAATGCAAAGCTCTTATCTGATGAATAGTCTAAGAGTGTTATCCATTAACTTGATAACCTCCGACAGAGTGAATGCTTATCCAAAATGTTGATAGGGGTTGGGATGACCTTACAATCAATAGTTGTCGTGAAGAGATACACGCTTTGCTCATTTAACTGGCAGAGGTAAATAAGAGTAGTTCTAGATGTGAAATGTTCAGATAATAACCGCATTTCTTCTCCAACATCGGGCAAAGTACGCCAAGTACAATGATAGGCTAATGCTGTGATACCCGCAGACAATATTGATGTAATCTGCAAATGGGTATTGATTCGCTCTAAAATACTTTCTGCAAACACTACATGCTTGTTGGCAAAATACACTGAATTAGGTAAGTGGACTCAACAAAAGATTTTCTCAACTGGACACCCAGAAAAATCATCTCGGCATTGAACAAATATATTCCTTGTATGAGGACATGCTCATATGACTGTTCGTGGTGTCTAAAATGAAATATTTTAAAATAAACAGTTTTTAAAAAATAATAATTAGTACATATAAAAATAAAATTAACAAAGATTATAAACTAAAACATGAATGGTGATAAAACAAGTACTTTTCTCCATAAGCGACAATTCATTTTGTTGTAAGTACATAATCTGCTTAGCTCTAATTCTGCGGAGAGAGTTCATGACATTTATCCCCGTCATGGAGTTTTCCAACGAGTTGTTGTTTATCATGACCCGACATCGTTACACCCAATCTAGCATGCCTCACGAGCATCACCTATTTCCTCCCCACACCACTCCGACTGACATTCCTCAATGATCAGGTAGCCGTGTTTCTCAACTAGCCACAAGAGCTCACAAAATATTCACCTGGCTAACAGGCCTGTAAAATCCTTCAATCAGCAACCAGGTTGGTCAAATCCTTACATCACTACAACTGGTACTGGACATTCACAAGTTTACTAACCACTAGTGGTGGTCCGATTAATTGAAATAATCGAAGATTGGTCGCAATGACTAAACAACAAAGCAATCTATCATGTTTTCTCATAATCAAACACAAACAATTTTGGAAATCTTGTTTGCAATAACAACATTTTTCACAAAGTTGGTTTTGTCTGTTACATTTCATAAGCACTACAAGCTTGTTCCTTGTCATGATTGAATTTATCTTAAAGATGCCAAGATATTTATTATGCTCCTAACATGCTAGTCATCTTTTAAGATGTGAAATTTGTAATGCATTTTGTGCAATTTGCAAAAAAACCCGCAAGAACTACATGTTTTTTCTATATAATTTTTGTGCATTAACAAACATAACAAGGAGAATTTGATAAATGATGCTAACCAATTATTTTCAATGATGATCGGTTGTAATGACCAATCATCAATTGTGAGATTTTAACCAATTCCCAACACTACTAACCACTTGGTCAAAACAATCCATATTCCCTACCTTGACAATACAGATTCATTCATGAAACCTGATAAATGAGCCAGTATTAATATGACAAACAAACTGAATCTGAACTTCACGAAACGCCTTAAAAAACCTGAACAATATACACTTCCCAAGCCATGTATTCTTGTTCAGCAGCCCTGAACATGATTAGTACTCCATGAGCCAGACTTACAATACCACCATCAATGAATGAAAGAGTGAACCATCAAATATTTCCGAGCTACGGCTGGCAATGTTACTATTTTTATGGCACTACCGCCAACACACTAGTGGCTTTCCAAGTGACTAGTTAAGCAGCACCCTTACAATAGGCTGTACACCGTGTTCCCACTGTGGTCTCAACATAGTCAGTACAAAGACTACACATGGGTTGAACAAGTGGTTGAGGAATGCAGATCATTCACCTGTCTGGTAGCCACACTGATAGCAGCTTCAGCTCAACAAGGTCACATTTACACATGCCAAGGAGATGGAGCTGTGACGATATATCGTACTATCGATACTCGTGATACTTTATCGGACTATAAATATATTGATACTTTTTCTCATATCGTGACATGCATCGTTGCCATTAAAATTGTTAATTTTCACTAGAAATTGGTGGTTATGTCAAAATTTACACTGTTACTTGCTATCAAAATCAACATTTGTAAAGAAAATAACAGACTGAGAATGGTTTTACGCCGCTTTTATCAATATTCCAGCAATATCATGGCGGGGACACCAGAAATGGGCTTCAATCAAAGAAAATAACTAAAGATAGCATATTGTGATATGCATTGAAACGAATCATTAAAAAGCCACTGTGAGATGTCATTTATTATTTTTCAATGAAGCACAGAAAAATTCCATCCAGTATATTCCTTTAATATATCCTCATAAATAACAAATAACATTCAAACATTTTAATTATATGAGTGAATTCAGTTTTACCCTGCTTTTAGCAGTATTCCATCAATATCACAGCGGGGGAAACAGAAATGGGCTTCACACAATGTATCCATGTGGGGAATCAAACCCTGATCTTCAGCATGACGAGCGAACACCTTAACCACTAGGCTAGGCTACCCCATCTCCCCCATTACCACTACAACTGTCCTTGAATCCCTATGCCATAATAAATTACAAACAACCAACTTATCAAAATGGAAGTTCATGTATCAATACTCTTTGCAAATAATCGATGACAGGTTTCCTAATATATCATCTATTAATTGCACATTAGATTTTATGCAGGTATTTCAAAATGAACTTAACTTTACAATTAAATCTACTTGATGAACTCATACACTCATAACCACTTTTATGGGTAATTATGAATTCAGGTGTTTGACAAACAAAAGACCTAAAATTGATCCATCCCATTTCTGAAAAAATTGAATTTTTAAATGAATACATTGGTTTATCAAATTTCTAAGCGGCATTATCACTTATCACATTGTTGATTCAACCTTAACCAGTTCTGCATTGCACATAAGCAGAGATGTAAGTACCTAACTGAACATTCCTACTTCACGACACAATAAAGAAATCTACCAGCTCGGCTGCACTTGTAATGAAATCAATGCCCAAACAGCTGCATCTCAACATGCCATCTCAATACTTTACTCTGCTAATCCCAATACCCCCGAGACATTCTCTTTGCCGCCCAGTAAATAATTAATGTAGGATTCCATGCCTGGATTGCCACGCTCACATATGCAACGCTGTGGAGTACATTATCTCTGTGCGTATTACTTAAAAGTCTGCCGCCGCTGCAGCCAGGTACTGATGATGACGATGTCGTTACAGACGTGGGAGGAGTTGTAACAAGTCCTGTGTTTCTACGTTATGGTTTGTTAAGGTGCGCGTGGGGATACTTATCACGACGTGGATCATTTCTTTCCTCAATGCAAATCAACATTTTCCCATTATCCTCAGAACATTCTCATCATCTTATTGAATCGTACTGCTTCGGAATGATGCGAAAAGTCATTTTCTCACAGATGTCACATAGTGCAGCATTTCCAGACATTCGTTTGGTTTTCTTTCAAAAACATCATTGTTCTGCATTGTTTATGACTTGACTTCAGAGTTTCTGATTGGCGTATTTTCTAAGACATTTGACAGACTTTCACCCAAAATGTCCTAAGTTCGTTCACACTTGTTAAAGATAGATGATTTTCACCAAAAGTTCATAAAGCAGACGTTCCAATGCCACGTCTCTAAATAATCAATCAACTTTGATAGGTGTCAACTATTTCATTTTCTAATTTGAATTATGCTCAATAAATAAAGTCATAATTTTACAAATATTTAAAATATTCAAGCAACATTTAAAAATTTAACATTTCATGCATTTAAAGTTTTCATCTCACCCCCTCATACACACAGCTTCTCTGAAACACCGCTCTCTATCAGTAATGAATCCAATTGAGTTAATAGTGACGATATCCATCACCAAACAAAGTCGTCAGTGACAGAGTCAGCCTGCGATCAATATTCATCTTCATAATTGCTGATAACACCAGGGTCAAGCCTTATGTGGATCAATACAATGGATTTGCCCATCAATGGCAGATAGCAACAGACAAACACATGGCAGCTCTACTCCCACTTAACACTATTATTGAAAACCAACGAACAAGAACCGTGTAGTATATAAATTCAGTTCAGCTTCGATGCTGTTGAACCAACACTACATATTAAAATGCATTCACTTTAATTTTAATTGAAATATGTGTCAGTCTTAATGTTTATCACTTATTTCAGGCTTTTTGATTTCATGAAAACAGAAACAGGTCTTTTCTAAGCTACATAATTAAATTATTTAAGATCATAATCCTGTAAGTGAGTGACTTTAGTTTTACGCCACTTTTAGCAATATTCCAGCAATGTCACGGCAGGGGACACCAGAAATGGGCTTCACACATTGTACCCATGTGGGGGATCGAACCCAGGTCTTCAGTGAGGGGAGCAAACCCCTTAACCACCAGGCTACTCCACAACCCCCATAATCCTGTGAACTCTGAATATGCTTCAAACAAAACCTTCGAAGACAACACATTATCTGTCATTTCATGTACTTTGACAAATTCTCTCAGACAAATATACAAAGCGGTGACATCTGAAGGTTCAGCTACATTAGCAGGATTGAAGACCAACGTTTTCTTGAACATTGACTGATATACATTGGTGCAAAAGACCAATATTTGCTAATATCTTGAAATATTGTTATGACATTCTTGAGCAAAGACACTGCGTTTGACATGTCAGGACATCTATGCCATTCCACCCGTCCAGCTTTAAAGGACACCTGTTGCCATTATCTTACACCTATTCTAATGTAAAACCTTTCACAACAGAATTCAGCCTGCAGATACAGGAGGCCGAGATGTCATTAGTGGAAATGTCAAGTCACAAGTTGACAAATGACACATGGGGCTTAATAACTTGTAGCGTTTTGCATTAAAGGCAACATGGTGGAAGCGGTTTTAACATCATCAAGGATAGATGTGGCCACTAGTCCGTTAGTTCAAGGCTAGTGAAAATCATGATAGACTAATCCAAAATGACCTAGATGAGTTAGTTATCAGCCACAGAGAGTGAGTATGGTTTTACGCCGCTTTTAGCAATATTCCAGCAATATCATGGCGGGTGGCACCAGATAAGGGCTCCACACATTGTACGCATGTGGGGAATCGAACCTGGGTCTTACGTGAGATGAGTGAACGCTTTAACCACTAGGCTACCCCAACCCCGTCAGCAAATGTGTTTCATAGATCACAAGCATACAGTCATCTTGCCCATCACAAGCTTATTCCATATATGCCTCATACAACATATTGTAAGTTTTATAAAGTGAGTGAGAGAGCGAATTTTACGCCCCTTTGAGCAATATTACAGCAATTTCACGGCAGGGGACACCAGAAATGAGCTTAACACACTGTACCCATGGGGGAAATTGAACCCAGGTCTTCGGCGTGATGAGCAAATGCTTTAACCACTAAGCTACCCCACTGCCCCAACATGCACAAAGACTTTCCATGGAACAAAAACAAAGTCTCATGACATGAAACCAATATCCATAACAGCAAAAACACCATATTGATGTTTTTTCAACTGACATAAAAACTGAAAGTGTACAGTCCTGGGAAACCCCTGGGAATTCCCTAGGATGCATAAACAGAGACATGTTTCAGATCACTGAAACATCTGAATCTCCAACTCAAGGATAGAGCATACATTACTGCTAGCCCAATGTTCACTGTGTTTATGAAGGTTCACGTTCTCTGAAGAACTCACACAAAGTGGAAGTCAAGTCATAAATGAACAAATTTCAAATTCAAATTTCACTTTAAGTTAAAGTAGGATCATAACTGATAGAAGACTAATGAATAATGCTGTTCGGCAATAGCTTCTGTTAGTTTATATATTTATGTATTTCATAAAATTGTCATTTCATAACAATTGCTACCTCTGTTCAAAACACAACAAATACTGTCTTTTAGCCATTTTCATGTGCCATTGTAAATGAATCAGTTCAGCTGATACAAACCAGTGGTTGATATTCTGAGCGCTGATCCATGCCATCTGGGTATTAATTGAAACAAATACTCAAGCCATCACTGTATCAAAATATTAACAACTGCCAACAATTCTAATCACAGCCTGTGACAAACATGAGAAAACTGATCATTTGAATGATTTCATATCTTCACACAAAAAGAATAACAATCGATCCTGGCAGATATTTCCTAAACTCAGAACTGAGGCTAGTGCTTAACACTGTGTCCACTCTCTCCCATTTGAGCCTCTTTGATCATGCATAGGATTCCAGGGATCAATTCCACCCTCAAGTTCCGATCCACTTAGCAATAGCAGTTAAATTGTCTTTAGTTTCTGTTACTGAGGCTACTCATACAAAGGAACAAAAAATTATCAAACAGAGCCACTGAAGACAAGAAGCATTTCACTGAACCTTTTCCACTTTGCCTTTGATTGAAAAAAAGAAGTGTTTCACTGAGGTGGAAGAACACCCATTTTCTCAGCTTGTTACAATGTTGTTGAAGCTTACCTTCGGTCCAAAGCACTTCCCTGGTCGTAGGGCTGGACAAACCATTTCCCTAGTCTCACAAAGTTCTTTGACAGCAAACATCTGCAATGAAAATATTAATGTAGAATTCAAATCCAACAATTTCATAAAAATATTTTAAAAAATTGAAAATGTTCACATCACAAATTTCAACAGGAGCTTACTCGCAGGGTAATCAGAGCACATAATGATAACAATATGCATGAATGTTGTTTTACACAAAGAAATTCCATGTTCCAGTGGAATCCGAATAACATCCTGATAGTGGAGGAGGTACGGAGACTAGTGGCTGATAGCACGAGCAACAGTCCACACCACTAGGGCATGATGACATTATTAGCCATGTCATGTGTCCAAATCTTATAATATCAGCATTGCTATAAAAACACACATTGTGCTGGATACTACTCTCCTTCAAACTAAACTCAGATAATACGACAAACTTCTTTGCACCAAAAATCAAAACAAAAACAATATCGTTTCCATCACTGAAGTTTTTTCATTACAAAGTAACAGAAATTCTGACAACTACATTCAAACCAAAGTAAGCGGGTCTGCTTCTAAAAAAACTAGTTAAAAAAAGCACTCAAGCTTCAATATCTGCATGGTGTTTTCCCTTATTAATTCATGTCATATTTAACTTTCATTCATTCAATGCCTTGTACTGAATTTCAAATGACATATTTAGATTTCACATGCTAATCAATTAAAGCAATGCACACAAAAAAATGAGAAAAAATAGATTTGGGATTGAAAGCGATGAACAATTACAAATTCATAAAAAAATAGCCTCATAATCTTCAGGGGTGTCGGGACATGTAAAATAGTATTTTGAAATTTCCCCAAGGAAATAAACTTGTGGTGGAGCATGGGGAATGCACTTAAGGCACAAGTAAAAAGCTTCCACACACAGCTGAATGCCTGACATTAACATTTTTAAAACAAAAATAAAATAAACATTCAAATAACTTTATGAAAAAGTATCCGTAAAACATGTCATTGGTTCCCAATTGCGCAGATCGATGCTCATGCTGTTGATCACTGGATTGTCTGGTTCAGACTTTGATTATTTACAGACTGCTGCCATATAGCTGGAATATTGCTGAGTGCGGCGTAAAACTACTCACTCACTCAGTAAAACATTTTGTGGGCAAGATCTTGAGCTCCATGTGTTGATGATTTAATGATGAGACATAATTACTGACCACAACTAAACTTGCCCCCAGCCCTCGTGAGGACACATGCTGCTAACTGTAGCCAAGGGGACATGACATTCAGCAATTAATATTGTCAAGCTGCTGGTGAATCACTTGACAGGCCATGGAAGCTGTCAGCAAGGACGATAACAATCATACCTGCATTCCTTCATTACCAGCAAACACATCAAAATCATGAAACTGATACTGATGCTTGTCTACTACTTCCTAATAAAACACTTCCGTAAATATTAGTTTCAAAATATTTATTAAATCTTGTCAAAATGGTTGTCAGTGTGTCATCTCAATGACGAAGCTGTTTTGAGAGAAGGAAATAAAATGACATCAGATATAATAATAATTACTGGGCCTGACATAATCAAGAAATAAAACTGATGCTTCCGACAAAGTGAAAACATTCTGGGAAATTCATTTATTTACTTGTCATTGATATATTGATATCCTTGGGGTCATGGGTTCCTTGAAATTATAAAGATGAAGTAAAACAATCACACAGACAACAATCTTAACCACAAATCATGCATACTTTTCCCCGTTTAGTCAAGACTTTCAGCAAAATATCAAAATTAAAAAACCTGGCTTAAATATGTACAATGGTGCTTTCCTTATCAGTCAAGCAGCAGTTGTAAATGGTAGTTAAAATTTATCAGAAAATGATGCTTCAAACCAAAGAATCTCTCAAAATCTGGAATCAATGTCTACTTTCAGGACAAGTGACAGCATATAAATCTCAACAAAACCGATGCTCCAACAAATGGAGGCTTTCAAGGCATTATCTACGCGAAATTCCTCACTAACAACCAAGCATCTGTCCCGGAGCACTGTATGTACACTACATGACAAGTGGAGGGCGGAGCTGGGCAGGTGAAACGTCACCAGCCTATGTGAGCAAGTCAAGGAAACGGTCCTGCTAAGCTGTTATCGAGTCTGGCCTACTGGCTGTGGGGACTCCAGGAGGCAAACACTGTCAACAATGACAGTTATGTGGTGTTGAACGCTGGCTACTTCACAGCCATCGCTCTTATTGAGTAGTCTACAAATAAGTGTACAGCATTTGTGGTGCTTATGGCCATGAAATGCCCAATCAATTAGAAGCGTTTGTTAGAAGGCTCACGGGTCAGTAAAATCATTGCTTCACCTAAATTACAGCACCGACGTCAACAAATACAAGAATTATTACTTAGAGATGCTTTTGATACGGAATATTGGAGAGCGTTTACTACACGTCGGATGAATTGTCACAGTCTCCCTTCTCAGAGTATGTTCTTGATAAAATAGCTTTTTATACTCACTAGAAGCAAAAATTATTTGTCCAATTAGGATTGACTTAGCTACATAAAATATGCTAAGGTGGAACCTATTTTGAAAAAGGAATTGTAATATTTATGTCTTGATGTCATCAAAACTGTGGGTACTTCAAGATAGTGTGGGGGATACAGGGTAGCCTACTGGTTAAAGACCCGGGTTCGATTCCCCATATGGGTAAAATGTGTGAAGCCAATTGTTGGTGTCCCCTGCCGTGATATTGCTGGAATGTTGCTAAAAACGGCGTAAAACTAAACTCACTCACTCACTTCAAATAATGTGCACATTTTCTTATTATATTTTACAGCAATGTGTCATAAACTTCAGTGATGCTGGCAGCAGACCAGTTTATCTTTGAATTTTAATAAATTTATGGAATTTTTTTTTAGAAACTGTGCACACTGCATTTGCAAATTTCACATGTAAATGATGCAAGTTGCTACTTTGAAGTGATGACTAACATATCATGAACATAAACCTCCTGGAGTCTTCAAGAAATAATACATCATGACTTTTCAGCAAGTAAAGTAAGTTTTCTAAGAATTAAACATGTTTTCAGGCCCCGACAACTTTTTAGATATGTTCCATCGTCAAGTATTTCAACGACTAAATCAGTAGTTCCAAAATCGTTTGTGTTTCAATTATGAGAAAATATGATCGATTGCTTGGTTGTTTGGTCACTGCGACTAATCTTCATCTATTTCATTTAATCGGAAAACAACTACTAAAGTACTGTCGGAAATAGAAAAAACACTGTGTTTTCACATTTATATCTACAGTTTAGGTAGTTAATATGTGAAAGTGTGAAATATCTGTTAAACTAAGTTCGGCCTAACTACAGTCTCAGTGGGAATGAGATAGGAAATGTAAAAGAAGAATTTCACTGAGGATATATTAGTGCAGAAATGAGAAGTCCGATGCGACTTATTTGGAGCAGACCATGGCTTTATGCAAATTAGTGTGTGATGATATTGTATAACAAATGACACTTTTTGAATGTCCATCTTGAAATTAGATTTAGCTTCATTATAAACAATAGCAGACGTAAAAAATAACAACTTTAATACTGAAACTATTAAGGATGTAGATGCCATGGAGTCTCACTATCACTATAAAAAGAAACAGGTAGGAGGGGTCGTCTCAAAAGCAAAACCAAGACGGGTGTTGCTGACGGTAGTTGGGGTCGGGCTTGGGGATAGAGATATTAGCTAAGATAAGATAATCAATAGAGACATATTCAATACACATGAGAAAGCATCAAATATATTTGAGATGACCCCTTGTGTCTGTGGGCAGCACGTTGCATTCCATGCCAAGTGAGTCGACGGTCCGTCGTCATACCTGGCTGAGCGACCTAATTGCCATCTATAGTCTGATCTATTGTTTTCAGCAGCTATTCGTATTTTTTCTAAGTTTTGCCCGATTTTACGAGTAAACATGCTTTTCTGGATATCCTATTACTCATCCCACTGAACGCCCAGTTAGGCCGATATGGGTTATTTCGACATATGCTATTTGCAATCATGTAAATTTTCGGGATACAGAGTAACAGCCTAAAAACAGTTTTTTTCTATTTCCGACAGTACTTTAGTGGAGATTCAATGTGAGGAGCGAATGCTTAAACCACTTGGCCACCTCACGCACCCTCAGACTAGAACGAGGAGAGGTGAATTTTGCTGTTCCTATATTTAGGCAAATTGTTCCGTACACATCACACTTGATGCTTCTTTTGTCCGTCACTACTTCCTTCCTTCCTTCATCCACGATCTGAATCTGCCAATGCTATTAGTATCTGTTCCAAGCTTACATCATTTATAGCTACGCCACAAAGAGGTGGGGTGAAATTGGGTTTAACGTCCTGCTTGAGAATATTTTGCTCATATGACAATGTGCATGCGTGTGTATGTGTATACGCGGCTGCTTGTACTAGCCCAGACGTAAGCTGGTTTTATAGTGCTAGCCCACTGAGATACCATGCCGCAGTGAAGCATGAATACCCTACTCAAACACATTATACTGACTCCAAGCTGACCAGTCCTTGTTGTACCCATTAATGCTGAGCGCCAGGCAGGGACCAACAAGTACCATATTTTAACGTCTTTTGGTATGACACGGTCAGGGATCGAACCCACGACCTTCCGCTCTCCGGGCGGACGCTCTATCCACTACACCACAAAGAATATTGAACAATCATATATGGTGTCTCAAGAACCCAACAAAATTAGACCGATAACTGGCAACTAGTCTGTAGTACCAAGAAATAAATTATGACTGAATACAAATGCTATATATACATCTCACATAACAAATTTTACTGTTGAAAACATTTATAATATTCTGCTGACAATAGCACCATCAAACCTCTGTGTTCAGTACAGAAAAGTTCATGAAACAAGATTAACTACCAGGGGCGGAAAAAACTTAAAATTGCTAGTGTACTCCGGTACAGTGGCACATGTAAAATCACTTGCCCTGATAATTTTTCCACTATAACGGACGATTTTCTTGTTGATTTTTTAAATAAGCAACATAATTAACATTGGAAAGTCAACTGGACACCAGTACAGCGTCACATACAAATTTGCTTGCCCAACAGAAAAAACACTGGACTGGGACATTGGGCAATGGGTTATTTCCACCCCTGACTACTATTTCCAACATTGCAACATATATCAATGACCAGGCAAATATTCCAGCAATCTCATGGCTTGGTCACCAAATACAGACTTCACCTTCTGCACCTACATAAGGAATTGAACCCAGATCTCAGACAATGGTCAAATTGTTTTTTTAACTACCACAACCACCTGCAATATACCAATTGTTAAAATAATATTGTAAAGAACAAAACAATCTGTAGTATCCTTACTTTTTTTTCACCTACTACAATAACAAAGATTTTGAAAAAGGCAAACGCTGTGAATAAACCATCTGATCCAAAGAAACCAAGAGCAAAGCGATTGATTTCCACCCCAATACCAATCTAATGAAGTGTACCAAACAAGGCTGGTAATACACTTACTGAGTACAATGCAAGTATTAAGTGCGCAGTAATTACAGTAATCAACAACATGCACTGAGGACAACTTGTTCATGAAGCAGACTACCAACGCTTGCCAATTCCTTCAGTTTATCAAAACCAGAAAAAGTAACCACAAATTAAAAACAACTGCAAAGGCAGTCTCGAATCAAAATAAATTGCATTTGTAATACAAAGGATTCATATTCAATACTTCTTTTTCTCAGATTCACATGGGGCTTCATTAGGCAAGTTTACAGGCTTAAAAGAAATGTTACTAGACTGGGGCTTCAGGCTAGTCATTAAGGCTCAATATGTAGTGAAGACATGAGGCTACTTACCTGACAACTATCAAACAAGTTGTCACCCAGAAGCAGTCATATCTTCCTGATCAACAACTTCTAAATGTCAATCAAACACTTCAGCAGTCATAGAGCTATAGAAGTCTACTGAACAACAAAAACTTGAAAGTGATGGGGTTCTTGTAGAGATTCAAAGATACTGTTCTAATTTGTCTGCACAAATTCTCAGCAGCAGACTTGCCATCTAATTAGACAAGTGATTATCCACACGAAAATGTCACAAGTATTTCCTAAATTTTACTAGTATCACACTAGTAGGCTTTTGTTACATTTTAATCTACATTGTTTTGACCACAGTGTTAAGATAAGGAGGCTTCTCAGATTAGAATATTATACAAGTGAGCGAGTGAGCATTGTTTTACAATGCTTTCAGCAATATGTGGAGCACTTTAACTGTGGGGTCACCAGAAATGTGCTTCACAGATTGTAACCATGTGGGGAATCAAACCCAGGTCTTCAGCGTGAGTAGCAAACACTTTAACCACTAAGCTACCCATCTGCTCAAATTATATAATAACCTTAAAAATCCTTGCAACTTTTGAACACTGATATAAATCAGACAACTGACCGATCTGCTTGCATCAGAAAACTGAACAAAGCTCTATGTAATCCTGAAGTATAAAGAATGTTGAGGACATGAAAATAGTTTTTTACTGGATGCAACTACTCCGACATTCAAATATAAAAGAATCAGACATATCCATAAAAACAAACTTAAAAAACTAAAAGAAATCTTAAATCTTTGCCAAAGAAGAAAAAATCTTATCAGGAAGGATCTACCTCAGACCAAGTGTACTTTGGTAAAAAGAATTACATATAAACATATCTTTCAAAAACAGCTAGAAAACTGGGTCTATTTCTGCTACACGTTAAACATAACTCGACTGCACAAAAGTGTCAATGAAAACTAAATATTTCTACCCTGAGTCAGACAAAATATTGTCAAGCCAAATACTGATACATCACTGATATCAGACCACCTCTTAAACAAATATTACATGATGTGAAACTATTTCAAAAGGACAACAATTTTCCAGTCAGTTCTGAGCCAGCTATAGGTGACAATATAAAGATCAATCTCCCAATAACTTATCTTTCACTACAAATGTATAACATTGGCCTACTAAAAGAAAACATGTAGTTTCTAGATCACCCTGGATCCAAATTAAAACACTGGAAAGTTTGATCAAACACATGTATGGTGTGTCTCACCTTTCAATCAGGTTGTGTAAAGCTTTGAACAACAGCGTCCTGCACTCATAAGTCAGCCCACTGTCCTTGTCCTTCTCCTTGTCCCAAGACCCATGCTCCAACTCTGAAATGTACAGGAAGCCTTGTTTATTGACATATTCAAAGACCATGCTCATACAATGAAATGTACAAGCATCCCTTGTTTATTAACATATTCAAATACCATGCCAACAACGTAATGTACAAGCATACCTTGTTAATTAACATATTCAAATATCAAGCCAACAATGCAATGTACAAGCATACCTTGTTTATTGACATATTCAAAGGCCATATTCCAACAATGAAATATACAGGCCATGGCATTGACAAACAAGCAGGTATGAAAAGTACTAATATACAACAAACAACCCTTTTTAAGAGTTAGTAAATGTTATGCTGCACTTATTATCAGTCCAAAATTACATCAGTGACAGAAAGACTGATTATCAGTGCAGGCATGTGCCACTCAATCCCATAGTTGGCAGATTACGGTTGATTAACATTTCATAAACCCACAATCCACATTTCAACTGCATAATGATATGTCAAGAAAGTAGTATAAAGAGGGTTCAAATCAATTTGATTCTTCTCTTAAATTAGTTCTGCACAGCACAAAAAATGTTGCTTCCACAATATATAAATCTTCACAAACATGTCTGTTCATAATTACCTCTTAAATATGTAGCACTATAACATTACAAGTTTATATCATGTAGATGTATTCATATCCTGCATGCCCAAACATATAGAGTAGGTGAAATGTACAAGCGCACATGTAATCCATCGCATCTTTGCATCAATATCACTTTCATCAGCGATTTCTGAATAAAAGCTACCTTGTTTATGCAAGTATTAGCAAAAACTTTAAAACTCCGCAAATTCCAGAAAACAAGGCAATACTGACACCAAACATTCGAATAAACTGTCCACAATTGTGTTAAGTACCCAATCATCAATATTAAAAGCAAGTGTTACAGCAGAACCATATATTCCACCCCCACAAGGAGAGTGTTGGTGTATTGTCTATAGGTGGCCAGCTCATCAGCAGAGGGGAAACATTCCTGCAAGCAGACAGACAGGTGATGGGGAGGGGGAGGGGTACAAGGTGCAGCCCCATTTCCTGTGTACAGGAGGCAGCGGTGCTTAGCCAGTGTTCGGTGGTAATATTCAGGTGTCTGATGAAACAAGCATGTTGTTAGTATATCAGATTCTCCTAGATGGGCTGATCATGTGTAGAAATAGGGAAGAAATGTTCATCATATTACCTTGTAAAAATTACCAGTTTCAATATTTCATATATATGTTTCTCAAAGAAACTTACTTGTCTTTTGTTTGGGGTTAATTATAGATGTTATTACTTTTATTTTAGAGAATCGCAACATTTATGATCTTTAATACACATTTAGTCTCGGAAATATAAATATTTACAGATGTTAAACTATGGTAAGAAAATATCAAATGGAGCCAGACTCTCTTTATTTTCATAACAAGAATTAACAAGACTTAACAAATGTAAGCAATATTAAATGTAATTTTCAATAAATTAAATTTAACAGATAAGAACTTAAGCCGTCATATACAATTCAATAAAACCAGACAATGATATTGAATGATTAAACAGCATATGAAATTTCGGATTTGTTGACATGGTATTTCCAGTTTTAAATGCACTCAGTAATGACTGTAGTTTGGCGCAGTTCTAAACACAGCTGTAAGAGTTGAACAATTTAAATACCATTTTTCAAAACATTACAAAATAAATCTTTCATATCAGTATAAACGATTTCTCATAATCCATTCCAGTTTCAAGTAGCTTCTAAAACATGATCCATTCTACAACAACTATCGCCATCAAATCCACAACACTTCTACAGAGAAAACCAGCACGACATAAACATTCCCCTGATCGTCCACGCTCTTACTGCAAACAGAAACATCATACATTTCACCAATCATCACCCATCAACGGGCCACCATGACACTTGCATTTTGTTACACGAGCCAAGGGCATCGCAAAAAACATGTCAGTGGAGAAAATACAGCTATCGTGTGGACCTGTTCAACAAGGCCTTATCAATCACGCTACCTTTGAATTACCCTACCAGCTAATATGAGGGTGTAATCTAGGTCACACACAGCAGCATGAAGGCTGGATGAAATCAACAGGAATTCTAACCAGGCGAGGGGCTGCAGTCAAGAGTGCAGACATTTCTCAATTACCTTGTGAAATACACACCACCTTCATCAGCCAGCTAGTCTGACTTGGGAAAGTGATCACTGAACTGCCTGAAGGCAATCGGAGGAATTCCTAAATCTTTGCTACCGTCCATCTGTCGCTCTGTCTGTCCCAGCAGTTGATCAGTCAATATCAATGAAGAAAACCAGCTCTACATAAGAATCAAAACAAACCCATAACATTGCTGTTAGGTCTGCTGTTAAGCTGCTTCCTGAATTTCCTCAACAGAGAAATCTACCACTCAGGATGGCTTGCTAATTGCTATCGCTGTAGTGTTGTGGTAAAAGCATTAGCTCTACATGCTATGACTTTTTCAACTCAGCTTATGTAATTAATCTTTCAAACTGACTGCAATCTGATAACACCATACATTCCTCAAGATCACTGACCATATAGTTCTGTTCAGAACAGAAACTCATACAAGATACATTTAATTAATTACAGAAACATTTTTAATACAAGCTAGAACGTCTGATTAATTTCTCCAGCAAATCCAATAAACATATTTGAAAACAAAGCACACACTATAAAAATTTTCTGAACTAAAAATATAACACACAAAACGTTCACCAACCAGTTCATGTAAAGAAATAAATGTATTAACTAAGAACTGCAACTCTATTAGCAATATCCATCTCGTCCCTTCAGTGGACCCGATATAATAAAGACGTCATTTCCCCAGCCCCCCACACAGCCAGTACCAATACAGAGGGCCAATACGTTCTCACCACTGGTCGATGACAGTGACCCGCGTAACACTAGGCGAGCCTAATTGACTATATTTATTCATACCAGGCTGTAGGCTGCTGTAATGAGACGACCATTCTTTTTTTTCCCAAGCCTGACCAAATTTCCCTGAGCACTACAAACTACACACCTGAACTTAGAGGAAAGATCGTGGGTAAACAAAATCGCCTGCTGATGAAAGACGGAGTATCAGTGGACTATGTGACAAGTGCCGATTCCTAGCCAGGCTGTAACAGCATGTTTATTAATGCCTTGATAATGTTCTTGGCTCAGCATAAAAAAATCAATAAACCAGTGGCATCTAGGACGACAAATGAAAAGCCTCAAGTCTTCATTCCACAATATGTGCATTGATTTCCTTAAGTGTTTGGGCACTAGGATGACGCTCACATCGTGTTTATGCTTGCACTACAGCGTGGTAATAGTAACTGTATTACATGCAGCAGTTACGGTATGTTTGACTGACAGCATGCTATTCATTGTATAACCGGATGCCAGCTGACATACCTATTGATTTAACCCTCACTGTTCAAACTACACAGTGCACATGTTGCAGTCTATTATGATTTTATACAAATCAGCTACAAAACTTTCCATGACAACTACCAGTCTACCACAGACAGCTTTGACTCATATATCTGTGACATTGATGTTTCTACTGAGTACCAGAAATGTTCAAGAGGTAGCGAGCGAGTTTGGTTTTATGCTGCCTTTAGCAATATTCCTGTTCAAGAGGTAAGCTCCATCACAATTACATCTTTAAAAGTATAAAAACGCATAAATACAATGTTCTCTGCACCATGAATTCTGATGCTTTAGACCTGTGCCACCCACAACCTTCATTCATCACAAACTTTGAGGTAGAAATAGAGGATCTTCAGTAATTTATAACTAACAATATTTGTAAATAAATCATTCTACAATAGCCTTCCATATTTTGTTGTTGTAATTTCACACATAAATTCAATATGTTAAATAGTCAACATATATTTAACAAAATTACATAATTTACAGAAATATACAGAAAATGGCATAATCAAATTTTTAAATACCTCAATAATTATAATTCATTATAAATTCATTATATTTGGACATGTATAACTTATTCACAAATATCTGTCAAAACCTATTCTGAATGCTCCTCAAACAATTCACAAATCTGCAAGATTCTGATACGTTTACAAAATAAGGTAGGATGTTATCGTTGATGCGAATCTACTATTACCAACCCCAAACCCACTGTTTACAGCTTCTATCAAGAGCGACAGCCACATGCATGTCACTTGACCCACATACAACCAACAGCCTAAGTGGTGTTATAATCACACCAGCTGCAATGCACAACTGTCAATCATGTTTCACCAAACACTGCACTGCAGGTATTGTAATTTTGATTTCTACATTAACTATGTGTCCATGTCAAGTGCCCAGGGTTTATTTATTGTCAGCTGTTTCACTGGCAACATGTGTGTATTTCACGCCCATACAATAGACAGTTGTGTTACGGACATCAAATGATAGGTTTCATCTAAATAATCAATGTAACACAGAATACAAAGAACATTCCCCATATCAAGTTAGAACAGATTTCATTAGAATTTCATTAACGGAACAATTATTTCTGGATGCAATATCTATTACAGATACAAAATCAATTCTTATTTTGTTACAGCAATTGCAATTACAAATATATCAATACATCAGTGTTTCACATCATAGCAATTTATATAGCAGTGTTTGAAATAGTGGGTGTTCAAAATTCAATGAATGTTCCAAATTATAGGGGGTGTTCAAATTAAGGGTTTCCTGCTGTCTTTAAGGACTGCTGGTGAGACATTTCAATCTAAGGACTCACTCAATAGTAACCCTTCAAGATTTTCATGCTTAAATTTCAAAAGCTGTATACTGTTAAAACCTGTACTATGCTCAGTGAATAAATCACTTAGAATTATTTGCCGTTTCACTCAGGAATAATGAATAACAAGTGCTTACAATGCATACAATAACTACCCCAAACTTCATTTCCATTTAACTGCTTTTGAGAAGACACATTATATCACAAACACAGGACTTGATCGAAGCCTAACAATCCTGTTAGCTAGAATAGGATGACGAAGCCATCTGAAAATACCCCCAGTCTAAGTAAATCATCAGCTTTGATCCATCAATAAGGCGATGCTCAACTGAACGCTGATCACAGACACAATTAATCACAAAGCATGTTATCTACAGAGATTATCAAATAATCACACTCACGCCTTGGTGTACATACTTGTAGCAATCAATGCATGGTATCTTCATAAGTGGATAAAATATTGCTGTTCTTAGTGATGCATCACTACATAATAAACAATGTCTGATAATATCAAACCATGGATATTTCAAACCAAACTGATTTTATAGCAAAGATAAAAATTGATTTTTCATTGCAATTATTCATTGTAATTCAACACAGAATATTTAGAGCATGAAAGTTCACATTCTAATACCTAATACTGTTCCCAAATGCAATTGAAATCCCCATGCTTGTCATAAGAGACAAATAACACAATCAAGTGGTCATGCTTGCTCGCCTGGGTGTCATCATATCCCAATTGTGTAGCATGACGTTAATGAAGCTAACCATGAAGATCTGGGTCAGAATTGGATTTCAGCAACCAATGGTTGTTGAAAGAGGCGATTAACGGGATCGGGTGGTCAGACTCGCTAATTTGGTTGATATGTCATCATATCCCATTTGCGTAGATCGATGCTCATGCTGTTTATCACTGTATTGTCTGGTCCAGACTCCATTATTTACAGACTGCCGCCATATACAGAGATGCCAACCCTATTTTGGGCCTAAGTGTAATAATGGAGGTCAAAAAGTGTAATTTGAACCTTACAAGTGTAATACTTAAAACACTTCCATAGTGAAAGGTGATAACTTTATAAAAATTACTTTTAAGAAGGTTTATTCACATGAATAGGAAAGATTCTAGACAGAAATACACGTGACCAATCATTATGCAGTTCCATACATCAAAAATTGTTGGTCAGGTGACACAAAATACTTTAATTCCTTACAAGTTAATTTGAATGAGCGCGATGCTAAGAGTAAGCGATTCCTATCGGTGTAAGGCCATTTCTGAACCCCTGCACTAGTGCGTCATGAAAAATATTCCCTGTGAAATTTTATCCACTTGATTGATTTTCACAAAACGGGTAGAAAAGCGTCATTTTCACAGATCAAGTGTAATGGCGTAATTTAATGGTCAAAATCGTAATAATTACGCCCAATGTGTAAGGGTTGGCATCTCTGCATATAGTTGGAATAATGCTGAATGTCCCATCATTAAATATCTACTAATTTTGTCAGAAACTAAACAAAGAGGCTTCCAAAGACATTATTATTATAAAAGTAATAGTTCTTTAAGTTTTACCATAAGTTTTGTTTATGGCAATTGGATAACTCATTTGAAATAAATTCCCCTGCATTTATTTTCTTGTGTCAACTCCCAAATAGACACCATGTGCACTATGTAATAAATGCCTTCAAGTACTAGCTGTGAAGATCAACCCGAAACATGCTGATGATTATCAGAATTATCACTGGCCTGACAAACATACTTGAGGTAATATCAACCACTTAAGTCAGAAATTCCACATTGTTTCAAATGGTATTTTCTAAAATGTAAACATAGATGTCATCAATCTTCAAATATGATTGGTTGGTTGGTTTTTGTTTAATGCCGCACTCAGCAATATTCCAGCTATATGGTGGCAGTCTGTAGGAGGCAGTCTGTAAATAATCGAGTGTGGACCAGGCAATCCAGTGATCAACATCATGAGCATCAGTCTATCCAATTTGGGATATGATGACGTGTCAACCAAGTCAGCAAGATTGACAACCTAACCACCTCCATTTACAACAAGCATGGGTTGCTGAAGAGCAATTCTAACCCGGATCTTCACATGTATCTGCAAATATGAGGTATGACCATATAGATTTCTGACGGACCTTATCACAAAATAATTTAAAGTGGTAAGCGAATATGGTTTAACACTGCTTTGATCATTTTGCAGTAATACCACAGCATGTCAGCTTGGTGTGGGAAGAAAGCCCGAATTGAATCAGGCGGTAAATATTTACCACGTTGGTGAAACCCACAAACACAAGTGTGATGCAGACAGACCAAACAGGGTTTGAACTTAACAGTAGCATGCGGCTGCTCCAAATTCTTGCAGGCTAGTAAAAATGTCCCAACTGTGTTAAAATTGAAAGGCATTTTCTTAAAATGGGCTCAGGACACGGAGAATATCCAGCAGCATCCTGGCATCACTAAGGGACAGAACTCATCACACCATCCTAAAACCACTATAACCACCCCAATACAGGGTTAGGCACCACTGGTCATACCCAACAGCAGCAACCTGGCACTGCTAAGGGACAGAACTCTGCGTGCCACCCTCAAACCACTATACCTAACCCTGCCATTCAACCCCTGATACTTTGTTAATCACCACTGGTCATATCCAACATGTCCACAGTTCATATAGAACTAGTTCCTTAAAAAACAACTAGTCTTTAGATTTTCACTCATCTTGGACAAAACCCGTGAAGATCCGGGTTAGAATTGATCTTCAGTAGCCCATGCTTGTCGTAAGAGGCGACTAATGGGATTGGGTGGTCAGGCTCGCTGACTTTGTGGACACATGTCATCGGTTCCCAATTGCATAGATCGATGCTCATGCTGTTGATCACTGGATTGTCTGGTCCAGACTCCATTATTTACAGACCGCCGCCATATAGCTGGCATATTGGTGAGTGTGGCGTAAAACTAAACTAACTCATCTTTGACAAATGATGAAGTGCCTGTGTCTATGTCTACCTGTGACATTTAGAAGATTTGCCAAGTAATGACTGCCAGTAGAGTACATGGTATACATATTATCAGATGCTGCTATTTTCATGTATAATTCTGCTCATTACAATCAACTGTTGGGCACAGGTGCCTTCTCTGTTTACAGGAATGTAGATAATGCTAAATGTTGGGCATCGTTTCAAGCTTTTATTACAGCATGCCGAAAACTATCAGCAGCTATTACAATCAGGAGGTAGGCATTCTCAGGTAAATGTTGAAACATCATGGAATGTTTGTGCAACTCTCTATTACATGGGACGAAAACATTGATAGTGCACAAGGAATGCAACTATCTGTTTCACATTGCACCTAAGAAAAAATATATGTATTCATGAGATTATAATTTGTATTCTCTGTCAAAAAATTTAATCCTACTATTTGGTACATGACAAAGATCATCAATTTCAAATGAATTTTTAAATAATTTGTTATATTATCACTAAAAAGCAATTTACTGAAACTGAAATTAGCCAATAAAGTCTACTAGCTGAATTGTGTTAATATGTTGTAGAAATGTTGAATATTCTACTAGTTTAACATCAAGGAGAGCAGTTTGAGCAAACTGACAGTGCTAATTTCCTGTCCGTTACTTACAGGACTATACAGGTAGCCAAAGTCGTAGATCGATACTGATTTGAGTGAATGTTGTTTATGACAATACTCAGCAATGTTACAACTCCGTGAATGAGAACCTATCAAAAGCTTGCTGGTTTTAGCGATCAGGATGGGATGACACAAAATCAACCAAGCTACAAAACATGACCACACAATCCCCATTTGAGTTTAGACAATATTTGGTTGTTTGTTGTTTTAAAGCCACACTCAGCAATATTTCAGATATATGAACACTTGTCTGTAAATATTTAAGTCAGGACCAGATAATCCAGTGATTGACATCATGAGCACTGGTCTCAGCAATCGGGATATGGTGACAGTCACCTCTTATGACAAGCATGGTTTGCTGAAGACCAATTCTTAGCTTGGATCTTCGCAGATCTAGTTAGCCGACATTTTTTGTTTGCTTGTTTAACGCCGCACTCGGCAATATTCCAGCTATATGGTGGCAGTCAGTAAATAACCAAGCATGTGGTCAACAGCATGAGCATTGATCTATGCCACTGAGATATGATGGAATGTGTCAACCAAATCAGCAAGTCTGACCACCCGATCCAATCAGTCGTCTCTTACGACAAACATGAGTTGCTGAAGACTAATTCTAACTCTGATTTTCAAGGGTCCAAGTTAGACAACAACAAACAAGGGCTACAAGTGACCCTTAAACAGTGCTTGTATTGTCAATGTGTATCGTTACACATATGAAATGTAACTATCCTTGAAAGGGACATAACTCCAAGTCTTAAAATTCCATCAAATATGATTATCTGAGTAAGTAAACATAACTAAAATAGTGAATGTTCACTTATCCTTCAAGTATTTTACATGGATACATATTTTGTATCTGCAGGATTTTTTGTACTTTTATTTTAGTGTTACATACTTTAAGGCATATCAAACAACCTATTGCTTATTTGGGACTACATGCTCATCTAACAAAGCGAAATTTTAGGGAACAACCAATCATATCTAATTAATATTACACATGGGGGCAAGTTTGGCCTAGTAGTCATCAATGACTTCACACAATAATTAAATTAACAAACAAAAATAGTCCCTTTCAAAAATGTAAAATATTGCTTACTTACGATAATTACAAGTGCAGATGACCTCAAAACAATGTCCCCAGTTCTTCTAACTTAATCATTAATCACTAAATTCCTAATGCGTATGCAATAAACACAAATCAAAAGTGTGTTGTTTAAATCCCCTCTCTGTTAATAATCTCACATTAAATAAACAAATGTAGAAACATGTTTGAAATAATAGTGCCTAAGACCAATATATGTAAAACATTTTGAACTATTATGAGCAATAAGGAGTTGGACTTGAATCCACCACTTAAGACAATCAACTGATCTGTCAACATGACCTAAATAAAACATCACAGTAATACGAGTGTGTATAGGCAATTAGGTGTCTACTGCCTTGTTATTAATAACTGTTTAGTAATATAGCATGCCTGTGTACTGATGCAAGAAACTGGCGAAATGAACAACAGTACAGGTGCCTGACATGTGATGCAATGCACAGCCACCTTGACATGCTGTCAATCATGGGAGTAAACACTTACCCTTTAGGTCAGGGGAGAGAAGGTTGTCGATGCCGGTCGGCTCGTCTCCATACCAAAATACCCACAGTTCTTTGCCAACTGACAACTGCTCCGGGGATCGAGCTTCTGAATTTTTCACTACTCGTCTCCAAACACATAGTAAACCACTTTGAATACAACGTGCATAGGAAACAAGCACTGGATCTTCGAGTTGCTCCACCGATACATTGTCCGGATTTGAAGTCAATTTACGCCATTTTATGCCACCAAGATCCGTCTAGACAACAAAACAGAACAAATCAGTGACCTTCATCACAATTTGTGCATATGAAAGAGCATATCATCAAACGGTAGCGTTATGTAAATACATTTCAATATTTAAACACTGATTGATTGAGATTTGTTAATCGCTTGTCTATGAGCACGGGCAGGTGACATCGCTTCGAACCGTTTGTAAATATGTTACCGAGTATCTAAATTGGGAAACGAAGCATGTAAAATGTAAGGTGGAGGGTAGAGAATTGGCCAATATTCGCAAATACCGAAACATTAAAGCAGGAAGGTCACGCAGCACGCGATTAGACGCAAACAATAGCCGACACCGGATAATACTCATTTAAATCATATCTTACCAAGGCAAACAAGTTTGTGTAACAATCCTCCAGAGAGCAGCCGTTTCCCGTTGGACTAGGGTGACTCATGGTCACTCCATGTTCTGAAAAAGACCACGTATATCCTGAATTGCTGCTAAAACATCCACTTAGCCACAAATCGAGAAAAATTTGTCAATTAACAGATACTTCGCATAATATGGCGACAGTAATGGCGACTTGCTGCGAACAACAAGGCGGTAAGGAGAACGCGCTGCCATTGGCTGCTTCCTGTCACATGCTCACGGGTCGAGCGGAAATACTATTGTCTATACAGCTACTCAAATAGGCTTCAGACCGTGCAAGTAGTACTCTGGTGACCTCGCCGGGAAACGTGAGTCCACGACTGTCAAGTTTATGTTATAATTTTAAACACATAATATGTACATATCCTAGAAGTTCCAGTATTAATGCATGCTATACCCATTCATCATTCAAATTAGGCTTATGGTAAACATCTTCAATATGGATTTGTTTCATTTTTTAGATGTGCTAGTACCTATGCCATTAAGGCTAAAATGCCCCTCGTGTAAGCATGCGTAATTTCGCGCGAACAAATTTTGCGTAGTTAATTTCTAGGATATATATCTTATGATTGCTCGGCAGGATTCACGCTGTTGTAACGGCTTACGGACAGACCCCAATGTGATGACTGAACCGTATTTACCCCCAGAGATACATGTTTTGATTAACAATCATTGAAAGGCGGTCACTCATTTTATCATTCTTAGGAGTACATTCATATTGAAAACAACATATGTTGGCATCACAAATTGACATTGAAAAACATGTTACAATTTCGCTACACCTCAGAATTTTAGGTAACCCGTTTTCTAGTTTGAAACAATTCGATCCAGTCCATCAAGCATTCACAATTGTGTTATTATGTTTAAAGTCTCCAGCTTACGTGACTGGACGATTTTAGTTTGTGTCACGATTTCAATCAAGATACAAATAAAATATATGATTGTAACATTTGTTATATATGTAAATAACAGGGGCTGAACACAACGGTCTCTTTATAAATCAATAAAAAAACAACAGGATGATTAAACATACACAAAACAACCGTCTTCATTCCGTGCGTGTCAATTCAATTCTATGTGTGAGGGCGGTGGGGTAGCCTATTGGTCAAAGCGTTGGCTCGTCAGAAAGTCTCCCCACATGTGTACAATGCATTACTGGTTTAATTCATCCTTCTAAAAGGTGTCAGTCACTATGTGTGAATGCTACTTTAATTCATCCTTCAAGGTGTGACAAGCCCACGTGCATTCCACGGTAAGCCACTGCTCTAAATGTACATCAATTCAACACCTAACCCCCGGCTCTCCTGGCTATGTAAACACGCCAATCATTAATCCGATCGTCGAGATAGACGCACACAGTACATATTTATACAAGTAAACTGAGGGACTAAAGAAACTATACACATGCAAACCAGATTTGACCCAAAAAATAAAACAAACGTTTGTAACACATAAGTAAGCTGAAAACAGTCAGCGAACACTGTAACCTTGAAGTCCAAAAGACAACTATGATACGCGTTATTTAAAAGAAACCCCACTTCATCTTGCTTGTGTCATGTCTAGCCAGCGTGAAACATAGTTTTGTATGGTAGCAAAACTCTATTCCAGCTATATCACTGCGGGACGCTCCGGAAATGGGCTTCACACATTAGTGTACCCATGTGGGGAATCGAACCCGAGTCTTCAGCGTAATGAGCTAACGCTTTAACCACTAGACTAACTCTTAAATTTGGGAGTTACGATCCTCTTTATGCTACGATCGCTCTTGGCAACAGGGCCCTAGATATTTGTACACCATAGGGAATGAGGGATTATATATAGGCTAACCAGTCTGTCAAAGTTAGTTTTCGTTGTAATGTCTGAATATGGCATTTTCAGAATATAACAGATATTTCTTGTCTCTTCTTGTTTACAGGTACATCAAATGGAATACCAAAGCCAGAGTGAGGAAGAGAGGATTTACGCCGGTCTGGGCAATATTCCAGTATTATCACGACGGAGGACACCAGAAATGGGCTTCACACATTGTACCCATGTTGGGATTCGAACCCGGGTTTTCGGCGTGATGAGCGATGGCTTTAACCACTAGGGTACCATCCCGCCCTCCAAACCACAGAACATATATCAACAGATATAGACCATGTCACCACAAAGTTACCTGTATTGAACCTGAGATATATCAACAATTAGACGTTAGTGCTGGAGAACACTAAACTACGGTTATAACGAACTCTAAGGGACCACTAATTGTAGTTCGTTATATCCGTAGTTCGTTATACGCATTTAGAGGAAATATAAAAGCCAGTGGCCAGGACATAAGTTCGTTATATCGGTAGTTCGTTATACGCATTTAGAGTCAAATATGTACGAAGTTGGCAGGGCACAAGAGTTCGTTACATCCGTAGTTCATCATACGCATTTAGAGTAAAATATATACCAAGTTGCCAGGACACAACAGTTCGTTATATCGGTAGTTCGTTATACGCATTTAGAGTCAAATATGTACGAAGTTGGCAGGACACAACAGTTCGTTATATCCGTAGTTCGTTATACGCATTTAGAGTCAAATATATATAAACTAAGTTGGCAGGACACAACAGTTTGTTATATGCGAAGTTCATTATACGCATTTAGAGTAAAATATATACCAAGTTGGCAGGACACAACAGTTCGTTATATCCGTAGTTCGTTATACGCATTTAGAGTCAAATATATACCAAGTTGGCAGGACACAAGAGTTCGTTATATCCGTAGTTCGTTATAGACATGTAGAGTCAAACATATACCAAGTTGGCAGGACACAAGAGTTCGTTACATCCGTAGTTCATCATACGCATTTAGAGTAAAATATATACCAAGTTGCCAGGACACAACAGTTCGTTATATCGGTAGTTCGTTATACGCATTTAGAGTCAAATATGTACGAAGTTGGCAGGACACAACAGTTCGTTATATCCGTAGTTCGTTATACGCATTTAGAGTAAAATATATACCAAGTTGGCAGGACACACAGTTCGTTCGTTATATCCGTAGTTCAGTTCGTTATACGCATTTAGAGTCAAATATATACCAAGTTGGCAGGACACAAGAGTTCGTTATATCGGTAGTTCGTTATACGCATTTAGAGTAAAATATATACCAATTTGTCAGGACACAAGAGTTCGTTATATCCGAAGTTCGTTATACGCATTTAGAGTCAAATATATACCAAGTTGTCAGGACACAAGAGTTCAACAGTTCGTTATATGCGAAGTTCATTATACGCATTTAGAGTCAAATATATAACGAAGTTGGCAGGTTAGTTCGTTATATCCGTAGTTCGTTATACGCATTTAGAGTCAAATATATACCAATTTGTCAGGACACAAGAGTTCGTTATATCCGAAGTTCGTTATACGCATTTAGAGTAAAATATATACCAAGTTGTCAGGACACAAGAGTTCGTTATATCCGAAGTTCGTTATACGCATTTAGAGTAAAATATATACCAAGTTGTCAGGACACAAGGTGTATGCACATTAAATGAAACACCGAGAACAAGTAGAGTTGGTCTAAGTTAACGCTCATCACGAACCGCACGTGCATTTGTTTCACTGTTCCATCTACTGCGCTCATCCCCTTGTAATACAAACCAATAACAGCGATTTGAATGTATGATCGTTTGTTAAACAACTTTTGTCCTACAATGAATAAAATTCTGAGATTTAAATGTTCAGTTGGCAAGGCAAATTTATGAGGATTCGCAGTCTTAATTTCACTTTATTTGATTTACTTTTTTGTTTAAAGTGAAATTCATCGGTACGTTTTCACTGCAAATAGACTATAAATAGAACAACACCAGTACTCAACATCGTCTTTTATTCCATCAGCAGTTAAAATGTGGAATATATTCCCTTAGCTATTAGAAATTGCGATTCTGTTGCATTATTTAAATCTTATATCCACGTGAAAGAAAAATGTGCACCCAAATATTTTTCATATGGAATAAGTAAGTTAATTGTTTTGCACACAAGATTAAGACATATGACGAGTACACTTAATTATTTATTACGAATACACTTAATGTACATGTCTATATATCTCTCCACCAAAACGTTTTCTCAGTTAACTTCCAATAAGTGACTGTTCATAATGTATGGCTAGGGGTGGTATGTGTGGGGGTGTGATGAAGATTTTAAGGGGGGGTCACCCATTTTGTTCTGGAGAGGTAGGGGGTCAGGAATTTTGTACACGTTTCTAGGGGGTCAGCAATTTTGTACATAAAAATATTTAAAACTTATGCTACAAAAATATGGAAAGGGGAGGGGGTCACTTACTTTGTACATACATTTTAGTGAGTGAGTGAGTTAATATTTAACGTCACATCGGCAATATCTCAGCCATATCGTGACGAAACATAAATTTTAGGGGGATTCACATTGTACATTTAGAAACAATTTTGAGATGAGAAGACATATTATCATTCAATCACAACAAAGTTCAATCTACACAATCAAACCTCTCAATAACCAACCTGTTTCAGGCTCACCCTACTCTACTCACTGGACTGTTCCATTATACCCGTAGGTGTTACCCTAATTAACCATCTAGTTCAGTGTCTGTCAAATGGGTGTCAAATTGGGAGATAACCAAACTAAGTTGAAATCACGAAATATACTCATGCCAATAATGGTTGTCACCCCCCTCCCCACCCCAACCCACACACACACCTCACACACACACCCCACACACCCTCTCCAATTAAATAAATTGAAGGGGGTGACAACCATTATTGGCATGAGTATATAATTATCTGTCCCGACGCCATTTTAATCATTATTCAAGGTGCCGCAGGCCTACGTACATAGACAGACAGACAGACAAACAGACAGGTAATTGTTTATTTACGTCTCCCTGCTGTACAACATGATGTTAAACACATATATACATAGAACAAAAGTAAAAGTACAGAACTACTCAATATGAGTTATGAGAGACAATAGCCAATAGCCAAAAGCCCACCATCAACCGAGACCAAGGATACTTCATTCCATCCGCTTATGATGCACTCATCCACCAAGCCCAATCTACTGTATAAACTCTGCTGTATAAACATCTCATTATTATTTGTACATCATTGGCTTCCACGCCTGTCCTTTGTCTACTCTCTGGCTTCATCAGCTTTCTGCCTAGCCAATTATG